TTTTTTTGTAATACAACAGAGCTTAGGGAAATTGAAAAAATCGGTAATGATTGTTCGTTATCTTTGAATCTACAGGGCCTAGCAAAAAGTGTTGTATGCACAGTTTATAGAAAATTTTATTACCTTTTAAAAAACCGTTTTGGAATTGCTTAATTCGTTCTTGAGATATATATGATAAAGTGGACCCAATTTTTTTTTTCTTGCAAAAACGGTAAATTGCAAATATCTCAAAAACGGTACCATAGAATTAAAAATAACCTTGATTTTCGGAATCAGGGGGTGATTTTACATAAGAATTTCATAACGGCGTTTCTGGTAAAGAGAAAAAGTTGAAATTTGTGGTCCAGTGTAATCAGTAAAACAACCCTTTTCACATGCATTTGCACAATGCATTTTTTCCCCCAGGGCGATGTCCTAAGAAAAGTGGGGAATTTAATTTTTCATTACCTAGTATCGAGAAATGAATGTCTTTTAAGATGAAATTTTTGGAACTTTTTGAATACATTACAATTGTCAAGGATTCCGAGTAAAATAAAATACACCCGTCTTTTAAAAGTTAATATGTGTCTTTCTTTAATCACGTTCAATAGCAAGTATCTTTCTATTGTACAAAAACGACTGTCTGTGTCCGCGGTCCGTTGCAACTACAAAACTACTCTGTCTTCTTCTCGTCCGTTTCTCTTGTATGTGTTGTGTGTTATTCAGGGCTGTCATGGAATCCAATTGTTGTCGGAATTGGATTTAAAAACGACAAAAAAATTACTTTGGTGTCATGAAATCCAATGTTATCGGTTTTATGTTCGAATCGGAATTAGTGTCGATTTTAGGTGTCACAGAAACCAATAATATCGATTTTGCTATCGGAAACAAACCAAGCAGCTAACGGCTGTTGGATTTCATTTGTTTATTAGTTTTCCTTACTTCCAGTTGGATATTTTATAAAAATGTGAGTAAAAGAATGTTTATTTTATAAAAATATTTGTTAATGTATTCATATTTTTATTCATCACTTTTTATGCTTTCCAAAAATGTCTGGCGCTACTAACGTTCCATACGAATGAGTCATGGCTAGAGCCGGGATAGAGTGCATCGACGGCTCGAATTTTCATGTCACCATCACACATCTAAATAAAAATGTACATGCATATATATAAATCAAGGCAATGTACGAGTAAAATGAAGATTCATGATTACTTACAATCAGGGCATTCATACTGAATTATTTTCGATTATAAAATAAATGTTCGTCAATACTGGGCTTAATGATTTTTATGTGTGTCCCGTCGATGCAACTAATTATTGAGCGAATTTTGTACTTTAAGTAAAAATAGTCTCTTGATATGCGCTTTTCGATGCAGTCCATTTCTAGTTTCACCCACTGAGGGCAAATGAACCGCTCCATAACCTTAAGCACATCATCTAAAATCGTTGACACCGCGCTTCGGGCTACACTTATGCTAGAATCGTTCCCGACTGATCTTTGACAGGATCCTTCTGCTAAAAATCGCAACGAAGCTGCTAACTGCAGCACTGGTGGAACTTTCGAACGTGTCAAGTGCCCTTCAATGGTGTCAAGTACCTCTTTGTTTAGGCGATAATATGCTATGAAACTGCAAATACGCTATAAATATTTATAAACGCATATTAAAAAACAATCTACTTACGCTGTCTCGGGCAGCTCAAGTGGATCGCCGCAATCTCTCAAAATTTTTCTTTTAACCTTCTCGGAACTTTCTTCTTCCAAGAACAGAAATGCGATAACTGCGGATGTCATTTTGCGCTCACTTACTTTTATTTAAATTAATGAAAACAATTCAATTTTAAAAAATTGTGTCAAAAAAATGTACATTCAAATTGCCGCCATGCACACAAATGAGCAAAACAGCTGATTCGAACATCGGTTTTGTTTATGTTCGAAAAGAGCAAAACCAATCCGGTTTCATGACACCAAATGAAACCAATATTGGTTTGTAATTCCGACAAAAAGCAAAACCGACTTGGATTCCATGACAGCCCTGATTGTCTGTCAGGGTCGCATTATAAAGTATTCGAAGTAATGCTTTACAGAAAAA